TTCCAACTCTTTTTTTTTTTTCCTGATGTTTAGACCAATAAAAAAAAGTGATAAGCAAGGGCTGTTTAATATGATTGAATGAGGAAAAGTTCTTCTTCCTTTGTACCCCGTAACCCTTCTGATCTTGCTAGATCAGAATACATTAAAATCCTTGCATCGATATGAAAACCTCACCAGCTAATGTCTGCGGAGCTGAAGGTTTCCATATCCCCCAAGGTGGTATTTTTCTTTTTGCATCCTGGGGTGATCTTTAGTGACTCCCTTCTTGGGCATCTGTCCTGCTGCCTTCTCCAGAGACTGGAAAAGTCAGAGCCTCTGACTGAAACAAACTGGCTGCATTCAGATACCCGCTCAGGTGAATGCTGGTCCCTTCCATGCCCTTGATTTGATTTCCTCCCTGAAGATTTGTGCCTTCTGTGGAGAAAGGCACCTTTCTCTAAGGCTACGTTCCACTCTTTCTCGCCTGCTCCCTGACCTCCAGCCAGCACCTATGCTCCTGTTGTTATCCCCATTTGGCAGAAGGCAAACTGAGGCTGTTAACCCCAACACCAGCTTGTCTGTGGCAGATCGGGACTGGACCCACCACAGCTCTGTTAGACCCATGCTTCCCTGCCTGAGCCCTGAAGGGAGCAGAAGAGCCACAAATGTCTGCAGGAAAAATAAAGCAAGAACAAAAACATGTACAGGCACAAACAGGGGAATGAGCGATGGTGGGAAATAACCTGGTCAGTGAATTTTTACTTGAACCTAAATAAAACCACAAAGAAATGTTTAAAGGAGAGGGCTGAAGAATCTTTTTCAAAAGGCTGGGTGGCTTTTGAGCTTAGAAAGAAAAGGACAAGGATGATGCGACCTGGTCAAGATCACCCACTCGCCTCTGTGGATGAAGGCTTTTGTTCCACTCTGCTATTGGAAATACTTTCAACCAAGTTACAGAGTTGAAGGCTGCGATTTTTACTCTGCTTCAGGATATGTGGAGGGATCTGCCACCACCTTAATAGTATAGACATTTCCACCTGTCTTCTCAGGACATGTTGCTCTCGTTGCTGTTCTCCATCAAGTGTTCCTCCCCTGAGAGGTGGCATCCCACGAGGGAAATCTCCAAGGAGGAAAGGATTTCCCCCCATGTCCCCTAGGTGTAGTTGCCTCATCCTAATGTACCCAGCTCGTACATGAGTGATGCAATTCACCTTCTGGTGGTGAAGCCTTCCCATCACAGAGTAGCTGTGGTGGGAGGGTCTCTCTAGTTTCTTCTGAGGGTCTACATCTGGGAGTTTGGAGCATGGATGGATTCAGACGGGGATGCACTGAGAGTGGGAATGGGCCTGACTGCTGTTATTTCAAGGCAGCGGTACTCATGCAGCTTTCAGCAGAGGAAGTCCCTGAATGCTTGGTTGTAAGTGATGTGGTATTTCAGGGCCATGCTAAGAGCACCATCAGCAGGTCATGTATCATTGGAGCATCCCCCAGAGGCCACCGCTGGCTCTGAGCCTGCAGGATGCTTTGGACTGCTCACTGCGGCAGTCCTTGGGAGAGGAACCATAGGGGTCCTTGCTCCCAGGGCTCCCACCCACTCTTCTTCCTTGTACATCACAGGAGTGGCTGAGATATGGATGACTGCTTCATGACTAAGGGTAGGGCTCTGCAAACACGGATGCTTCAAACGCAGCCCTATCCGGTGCAGATATCTAGGCTACTGTTTCACTTGAGATAGGGCAAAACCACTGGTCTCTCAGCATGGCCACATTAAGGAATGTGAACATCCCACCCAGCTACCCCCATACTGCATGTGGTTTAGCAGAAGGTTGCTTTGTTTTGGGGCAAGCAAATGGATGGTTTTCTAACCCACATGGTTGCAAAGAGCAGTTTAGAGATGCAACCTGGGTATCACCAATGCAATACCTGCCTGAGTACATGGGGTGCTTGAAACAGCAGCTCTCTGAGCTGCAACAGCAGCCCCGTTCTTCTGTGGTGAAGCAAGTTCACCCATGCTGTAAAGCAATTTGTGCCTGCGACGTTTCTAAAGGAGGCTGCAGCTCTAGTGCAAAATGGTTCTGGGGCTGGAGGTAAAAGAGCAGGTGAAATCACGCTGTGTACTCAATTAGGATGGGCTGATGCAGAAGGCAGTAGGTGCTGGTAAATGTGATTTATTCCCTCTTCATCACCTCATTTCAAAGAGAGATCCAGATCGTATTTGTTTGGTTGCCATCTTTATTATTGTCTTCTGCCTTTTTAAAAAGATCAGGGCCAGTAAGAGCACCCTGAGTGATAAACCATATGTGGGAATTGGAGTCTGTCTGGTTTGGCTTTCCTTATTCAGTGGGAAAACACACTTTGTTTCCTGCCTGTGTGTTCCTGCTCACCTCTGTCCTGCTGTTTTATCCGCCTGTCAAAACTAGTTTGACATCCAGGTCCTAATCCGGTGAAGTTGAGAACAATTTGAATGGTCCCATCAGCTTTAAAGTAACTACTCACCAGCTGGAGTGTCAGCCAGCTCACAGCCCAAGACGGGGCCAGGGTTTCTCCCACTGTGTATAAAATGATGCGAGATCAGGGCTTTGGACTATAAACCCTACATGCAGTTGGGTCTTCATGCCCCGTTGTCCAGGTGAGATGCCTTTTCCTTTGCTAGGTGTGATCTTAGGTGCAGACAGCTCCAGACCCAGCCGTAACTGTTGGGTTTTCATTTCCAACTCTTTTTTTTTTTTCCTGATGTTTAGACCAATAAAAAAAAGTGATAAGCAAGGGCTGTTTAATATGATTGAATGAGGAAAAGCTCTTCTTCCTTTGTACCCCGTAACCCTTCTGATCTTGCTAGATCAGAATACATTAAAATCCTTGCATCGATATGAAAACCTCACCAGCTAATGTCTGCGGAGCTGAAGGTTTCCATATCCCCCAAGGTGGTATTTTTCTTTTTGCATCCTGGGGTGATCTTTAGTGACTCCCTTCTTGGGCATCTGTCCTGCTGCCTTCTCCAGAGACTGGAAAAGTCAGAGCCTCTGACTGAAACAAACTGGCTGCATTCAGATACCCGCTCAGGTGAATGCTGGTCCCTTCCATGCCCTTGATTTGATTTCCTCCCTGAAGATTTGTGCCTTCTGTGGAGAAAGGCACCTTTCTCTAAGGCTACGTTCCACTCTTTCTCGCCTGCTCCCTGACCTCCAGCCAGCACCTATGCTCCTGTTGTTATCCCCATTTGGCAGAAGGCAAACTGAGGCTGTTAACCCCAACACCAGCTTGTCTGTGGCAGATCGGGACTGGACCCACCACAGCTCTGTTAGACCCATGCTTCCCTGCCTGAGCCCTGAAGGGAGCAGAAGAGCCACAAATGTCTGCAGGAAAAATAAAGCAAGAACAAAAACATGTACAGGCACAAACAGGGGAATGAGCGATGGTGGGAAATAACCTGGTCAGTGAATTTTTACTTGAACCTAAATAAAACCACAAAGAAATGTTTAAAGGAGAGGGCTGAAGAATCTTTTTCAAAAGGCTGGGTGGCTTTTGAGCTTAGAAAGAAAAGGACAAGGATGATGCGACCTGGTCAAGATCACCCACTCGCCTCTGTGGATGAAGGCTTTTGTTCCACTCTGCTATTGGAAATACTTTCAACCAAGTTACAGAGTTGAAGGCTGCGATTTTTACTCTGCTTCAGGATATGTGGAGGGATCTGCCACCACCTTAATAGTATAGACATTTCCACCTGTCTTCTCAGGACATGGACATCTAGCTACATATGAAGCTGTGACCTGGCTATAGAAGTCCCCCCAGCTCATCCAGCCCACCCTGATGCAGCGGCTCCCTTACCTGCTCTGGGCCGGGCTCTCCATCGTCAGGCAACTGGCTTAGAGGTGATGCTCAGCAGCAACGGGTGAGGATGGTACAAAAGCCCAAGCCTTTTTTCGGTGCTGATAAAGCAGCCAGAAGACCCCCAGCTCTGGTATCAGCATATGCTGTGGATGGGGGGCTGCAGTTCTGCCCAGCCAGCTCTGCAGTGCAGGATGAGACCTGAAGAAGTTTTCCATGAAACCCAGCAGGGCTTTCCGAGCCCTGTGCCTTCCTTCAGCTTCAGCCATGGGTTCAGCCCCTCTGTAGTGATAGAGAGACCCTCGCTTGCCCTGTCTGCCCCCAAAATGCCATCCCTGTCCTGCATCCCTTGCCCTCCCTACGGGAGGTACCTGCGAGCATCCCCGAGCTCCGAGGAACGACCTCTTCTCTCCTAGGGGGAAAAGAAAAAAAAAATACTTCCTTACCCGGGAGGTCTCAATAAGCTGCGAAGTAACTAAACCGAGGGGCTTGGGTTT